CGGCGAGCCCCGAGCCCCGCCTGCGTGGTGGGACGCTTGCCTGGCTCTGCCCTCCTTCAGGAATGTAAATAGTAGCGGCAGGCTGGCTTGCGGAGGAACGCCAGGCTGGCGTGGGCGTAGGGGCCCGCTGGGCAGTGCAGACGGCCAGGATCTGGATCGTGCTTCCAGAAAAGGGACGGGGGGCTGTTGACCAGCCGGCTGTGGCAGAGCCCTGCTTTCTGGCTCCCCCTGCAAAAGGGAAATGCCCAGTTCCCAGACCGGCCTTGTGGGGCTCCCGGATCCGAGCCAGGCGGGGGGAGTGCAGGTTGGCCTGGTTCCCAAAGGTTCCTTGTTGGAGCTTTCGGGAGTCCTGTGACGCGTGATTTTATTTATTTTGTGGGGCGGTTCCCGTGGGGCGGCTCTGATTTCCCAGGTGGAATGTGTGTGGCTGAGCTGTGTTCTGGAGGAGGCAACGGGCAGGGGGCTGTTGAGAGTGGGAGGCAGCTGTGCTCTATGGGCCTGACAAAGCCAGGAGTCAGTTTGCTGCTCTGCCACAGATGTGCTAAGATGCACGGGGCATGTCACTTAACCTCCTGGTGCCTCTGTCTCCCCCACCAAACAGAGCCCAGGATCCTGCCCCACTTGTGGCACTGCTGCGGGATGTCCAGCTGGTAGGAGCAGTTCACTATTTATTATTTATATGGTCTAGAAGGTCCATGTGAGGCTTGTGGAAGGGGGAGTGAGTGTGTGTGGGGTGTGTGGGGTGTGTGTGTGTGTGTGTGGTGTGTGTGTCCCCAAGCAGGCAACTGCCAGAAGTGGGAACTGGGGGTGGGAAGGAGGCCGTTTTCTGGGGGGCTAGGCTAGAGAAATCCAGAGCTGGGGGCCGGGGGCCTTGATGTGTCCGCATGCAGTAGGATACGTGACTGACGGGGAGGTGGGCCGTGCGGGCTGCTGATTGTAGACAGGGGTTGAGCTGCAGCCGTGTCAGCGAGGGGAGGGGGAGCGAGTCTGAGGCAAGAGTGGAGTCTGCTTGGGGACGCCCAGTGCAAACAGCTCAGTGACGGAGGGGCAGTGGGCGCAGAAGGGATGCAAGGACGCGCAAAGCGGGAATGTTTGTTCCGTGTGGGGGCCCCTGTCCCTCGCTCTCCAGTGGGCAGAGGCGGGATGGCAGCTAACGTGGCTTCTCTGTGCTTCTGGCCGGGCCGGGGAGCAGCTCCCTCGCGGCTCCGGGCAGGGGGAGTGCCAGCTGGTCGCTGCCTGTTTCCTCAAGCTGCGTGCCGCTGCCAGCAGGCCCAGTTGTCTCCCAGTGTTTCATACAGACACCAAGCTGCACAGACCTGGCCCCACCTGCTCTCCTGCCAGCGTGGGGGGCTGGTCCTGAGCACGGGAACCTCTTGCTAGGTTGGATGGGAGTCTTGGCTGACAGGCCCCAGCAGCCAGGTCTGCCCCTCCAGGGGCTGGGCTGCCTGAGTCCTGGAGCCGTCGCGGGCTCAGGGAGCTGGACCACTGCCCAGGGTGGGGCTATGCTGGCCTGCCTGGGCCCGGGGGCAGCGTGCTGTGCTGGCTGAAGTGACCGTTGAGGGCCCCGGTGTGCGGCGCGGGTTCTGGGGAGCTCCTGTGCGTGCAGCTGGGCAGGGCATGACCCAAAGCAGAAGGCTAGCACTGGCTGCTTGGCATAGGGCCGGGGACGCATTTGGGCTCTCGGGGGATTCCCGGGGGTGCTCCCAGGAGGGCTGGCAGCACTGAGCAGAGCCGCCCGCGGGACTCGGCTGGGGAGCTAGGCCGAAGCAGGGACCTCTAGAGGCTCAGGAAAAGGGGTGCGTTGGAATGGACCAAAGTTGGCATCTTCAAGCTGCTTCCACCTGGGTCTTGGGTAAATCCCACTCTGCCTGGCCTGTTGCCTGGGGCTGGCAGCCTGGCGCCTTCCTGGAGGACCAGCTGGGTCCCCCCCAATGCAAACCTAATGCAATTCGCTTCGACATTCCTGATGTGCACTGGAACAGAAACTGACCAAACCTCAGAGGATGAATTGGGGGGAGGAATCCGCAGGCTTTTGACCTAAACGTCTGGAGACTTGTGCCAGAGCCGCCTCCCCTCTGCCAGCGGGTTATCCAGGCAGGCGTAGCCGGGGGGGCAAAGAACACTGAGCACAGCGGGGTCCGGGTTCCTCCCACTCGGCGCCCCGCCAAAGGGAGATGGCAGAGGCTCTCGCCGCAGGGGATTCTAGCCGGGAGCACAGCCAGTGGCGCAGGCTGGGTGCCGGGCCAGGCGAAGGTCTGGGTGAGGGTGACGTGCTTTGGGGGAGAAGAAAGGACAAGACAAAACAAAGTGGGTCCCCGCCCCCGTCTCAAGTGCCTCCTGCTCGGACAGCCGTCTCCTGCTCCGTCCCTGCACTGCCACGGCCCCGCCTTGGGACGCTCGACTCACAGGTGGCAACGCACTTTCATCTACTGCCTTGTAACGAGCTTGGTGTACTGTTGTGCTTTGTGTTTCAATAAACATTTCTACTGAGTCAGCTCCTGGCCCGTGTGTCTGCCGCGGGGGCCGGAGAGCGCCGGGCGGGGCCGACTCACTGCCGGGCGGTAACGTGTCTCTGCCACGCCCCACGTGTCTAGTGCCCAGCCCTTGGGGCTCTGCATTGGGGAGCAGCCGCCCACGGAGCTGCAGGGCTGGTCTTTGGCCTGGGCTGTGTCCTGGGAGAGCCACAAGCTGCAGTTACCAGCCTGAGCCCTCCTGGTCCCTATTGGACGTGGTGGGGAGGCAGGCAGAGGCAAGCTCTGGTGAGACCCATGGACTTAGCACAGCCAGACTGTGCCCGCTCCACAGCCTTGCGCTTGGACTGGTGCTCTAGGAGCCCTCCTGTGCCTCCATCTCTCTCCTCTGGGTGCTTCTCAGCCGTCGGCCTCCCAGCGCTTGACAAAGGCGGCGGGGCTTGGTCCGCGCCATCGTACCGTGGGGCGCACTATGGGGAGAGGGGAGCAGAACCTGGTCTAACGGCCTGTGCCCGCTTGGCGCACGCTTGCTATCAGGTCGGGAGGGACGGTTCATTGCGGGGAGGGGCCAGCAGGAAGCCGGATTCTCCAGTAGGGACTAGGCTGCCGTTCTGGCACATCAGTAACCTTGGTTCCACTCGGTTCTTTGGGCGGCTGGCCTCCAGCTGGCTGGCAGCTGCGGGGACACAGATTTTTTCCCTCCAAAAATCCCTGCTTGCCCAAATCAGAGTGTTCCATGACTTCTGTGAACCTGAGTTTTGAAAAAAAAAAAAAATCCCCGTTTGCCTTTTTGTCTCCTGTGTTGCTGTCTTGTGTGTTCTGATTTGAAATGAAACTTTGCACTGACTCCCTGTCTGTGTCTCTCTCACACCCCACCCCCTCACACAATTATTTTTTGGACCGTTTCATTTTGTGGGGAAGCTGGACTCTGGCCGCATGGCTTCTCCTGGGAAGCCTGGCTGGCTCTTGCCCTGATAACCGGACTAGCACTAAGCAAGGGCCAGCCACGCTGTGCCGAACACGAGGGGATCGAAGCGACCCAGGACGCGTGGCTGCAGTGGCAGCCCAGTGCTGCGCTAAGCCCACACGTCTCCCTAGCTGGGGAATCACAGACCTTCACAAATGGCCTTTGCAATTTCCCCTCAATTCACAGGGACCGTTTTTGTGGCCCGAGTGACTCGGCTCATTGTCTCACCACTGATTTGAACCACATCCCTCCGCAGCACCTCGCTCGTTCTAACACCCCCGGCCTTTGCTCCCAGTCGCTTACGTGGCCAGTGACGGTCTGGCGCG